ACTGTCTCATTAACACATCTTAAGTCTTGTGGGAGCAAGACAGAGGATCATCAGTATTTGACATGTTCACATTTACAGGTCTGGTCTACACTTGGGACCATATATTAAAACAAGAGATTTTTTTTTTCTTATGGTTAAACACAGTACACTAGCCAAAGCTCTCTACAGCTACTAAACAAAAAAGTTACTAGCATAACTTACTTTGTTCAAAGGGATAGGGGTTTTGTTCGGATTTTTTTTATTTTTAACACACTATTGTTGCAAAAGGAACAATTTTCACCACACTCTGGCAAGAAATCTTATTGTATCATTAGAGCAGCAAACACCATTAAGTAATAGAAGTCCACAGATTGCAATCAGCAAAGCTTTCCTAGATGCACACCTATTTACAAAGTTGCACAGAATTAGAAAGCTTGAAATTCTAAAGAAAAAAAATAAGCAATAAATACTGTGTAGTTTATCATCTTGCCCATATTAGACAATGGCCACGCTTATGCTTCTTTTCAAAGTTATAACTAAGTTCTCGCATTTCTGAATTCCACATCACATTTCTTCCTCTTCAAGGCTGGATCTCAAAACATGGCAAGCAGATAAATTCTTATGAAAACCAAAAACATAACAGAAGCGTTCACACCAAAAACTCTTAATACACGTGATGATACGAAAAATTGAACAGATGACGGGAGCAAAGAACAGAAACAGACTAAAATTTTTTTACAGGATGAAAAGATGGGAGCCACGGGCAAGTAACTGCTAGAACAGGCGAGGCAAACAGAAAACTCGACAGTGTTCACCAAGTGTTCAGGAAGCAGCTGCCAGTCCCACCACAGAACAGAGCCTGGTAAACATGCAAAGTGTTTACCACTTTTAAAAGTGGTACTGATATGAATATATTTTTTAAAAAAACGTTTCAAAAAACATGATAGAAACAAACAAAGCAAAGCCCAACAAAACAGGAGACAGAGAACAAGGAGAAGTAACAGTGGAGATGCTCATGAAGATGTACATGAGTTCGTGCCGCCCTGCGCATAAGGATAAGGCATTTCAATTAAGAGCCAATTACGACCACTTTCCCTTCAAAGTCTGTTGTCGGAGAGCTCCTGTGCCGAGCAAGGGCGTCGCACCTCTGCCCCTCGCTGGCACTATGCTCTGCGGTGAAAGCTCGTAAGGAGCTCCCCGTGAGCCAGGGACACCCCAAGGAGGCACCGGGCACTGCCCATCAAGCTGACGGGACAGGGCAGGGGGTACCTCTCCCGCCCGGGGACACCCGGGCAGCCCTCCCCGAGCAGCCCCCCCTGCCCCAAGCCGCGCACCCCTCGCAGCTCCCCCCGCGCCCGGCGGGGACCCGGCGGCCCCGGGCCGTACCTGCGGCGGCGGCGCGGGGCTCCTTATCCCAGGCGGCGCCCGCTCGGCGGCCGCGGCCGGTGCCCGAGGCCCGCAGGAGAGGTTCGTCCTCTCCATCCCCCTCGGGCCCCGAATCCTCCTCACCCGAGTCCGCCTCCTCCTCCTCGAGCCCCAGCTCCCCAGACAGCCTCACGGCCCCGCCGGGGGCGGCTTTCCCCCCTCGCGGCCCCGGCCAGGGGGGCCCCGCCTGAGGCGCCGGCTCCGTAAGGAGCAGCAGCCGCTCGTCCGGCTCCTCAGCAGCCGGCTCGGCCATGGGCGGCCGCGGGCTGAGCGCGGTGGGCGGCGCGGGCTCAGGCCACCCCGCCACAGCCCATAGCGCCGCCAGCGCCAGCTCCGCGGCCACGGCCACGGCGGCTGTCAGGGCCCTGCGCGTGCGCGCGGGCCGCCGCCCCGCCCCCCCCCCGCCTTAAAGGGCCCGCGGCCCCCGCCGGATGACCCCGGGGGAGCGTCGCGTCTCGGAGTAGGAGTCGCCGCCGCCGCCGCGCTTCGGGGGGGGGGGGGGGGGGGGGGCGGGAAGGGCTGCGCCGCCTCCGCCAGGCGCGGGGCGAGCGCAGCGGCTGGCGAAGAGCGCGCCCCCCGCGGCGGAGTCGCAGTCGGGGTCCGGCGGGGGCGGCGCGGCGGCGGTCCCGCCGGCGGCGGCCGGAAGGAGCCAGCGGAGGGGTGAAGGCAGCCGGGGGGGGGCAGGACCTGCGCGGCGCTCCTCGGGGAAATCGCAGCGACAGCCCTCCGTACTGGCGTTGTTTGCGCTGCTAGTCAGCGAACAACAGCATCCCCGAAACTCGACTTGTTTCTGTGTCAGGACGAGGCTTGTCTCCCGGGCATCGCTTCCACTAGCCAGCAGCTCTCCCCCCCCCCATGCTTTAAAATACATTGTTCTACACCACCACGGTAATTTCCAAAATGAAGCCTAAAAACAATAGAAGTGAAAACGATATGAATATACTGTCGTGATTTCTGTGTTCCCACAACCATCCTTGCGCTTTTAACTGGAAGGAAGAGACTATAGCTGTAACCCCAGCAGGCTGCACAGGCGTTTGTGTGAATGCCTTCTCCCACACGTCTGTGCAGGAGAGGGGTTCTCCTCAGGGCAGTACTTGAAGATTTGGGTGAAATATGGGAGAAAGATACACACATTAACTACTTGTATAGAAGTGGGATTCTGGATTATACTGGAAGCAAATCAGTTCTCAACTAAAACAGTAATTGCACATACTTATTATTCATTATTTTCCTAATTATTCATTATATAAGGATTCATTCTGTACATTCTTGATCACTGAAAGAAAAATACTTTGTTTTGCTTGGTTACTGACGAAAATAAAACCTTACTGAAATGCTTGACCTGTGTTTGTTTTGTCTTGGGTTACCTGTCAGACAGTGGACTTTGGAACTCAGTTGAGTGTCATTTACTTATGTAACTATTAATATCTGTAACATTTGATAAAATCTGTACCAACTTGCATTTATTTTTCCATTCCTTTCTATTAAAAGTGAACATGTTCAGTCAACTGTAACGCCGGATGAATAGCTACTTTATGCCTAGTGAACAAGTATATGAAGGTTACAGCAACTGCATGTAATTTCCTGTACAGAAAATCATATCAATGTTAATGCCTGTGTGAAGCAAACAAAAAGATCAAACTAAAGTGGAAGAAGTCTGACATTTTGCCTAGCAGACCATTCAGGAAGACTGCACCTTCCTTTAGCTATATTAAGTTATGAGTGAGTTGTGGCTGTTTCAATAATATTCTGTCAAACAGTTCATTCATGGGTTTCTAAAAAGTTGGAAAGGTTTGGGAATTTATATATATAAACTAAACAAGAAAGAACTCACTAGTTATTTCTTCTGGTTTAGGGATTCATCTACACATGCTAGTGTGCGTCCAAACACAGTTAACTAAGTTTTCATCTACTGCAATGAGAATTTTGTAACTTGCCCACAGGTCTTGATTGATCTAACAAAGTCTTTTCATTGCCTCAATCTTCAGCAGTGCAGAGTTCAAACACTGTGCCTGCTCATAATTAAACAAAACACACACCACCATCATAGCTATTAACAAACTATTAATTTTAATTCTGAGTAGCTAATATACTCTCAATTAGCCACCTGGATTAAAATTACTAATAATTAAATAATGCAAACAGCTTGGATCATTTTCCTCATGCTAGCACTTTTGTCTCTATCCTTTTAATCCATAGAACTTTTTCATCTGTTTATAACATATATCTGAGCACTGTCAAAACATTGGAGAGAGAAAAACAGAAGGTAAAAAAAAGGGGGGAAATAGACGCAGAATCATGCACTTTTAGTTTTAGGTGAGCGCCCTCTTGTGATACTTTAAAGAACGAAATGAACAGCTGCTCAGTATTTCCAAAGTAACAGCAACACGACACATCGTAACAACCCAGATGCAGCATGACTACCGTGACTGAAAAACCGGGACAATCCAACTGGCAAAGCTCTTTTCTGTTCAAAAGGACTAAGAAACTGTGTTAATTATAGTCTGAGTCAACAATTCAAACAGGTGTGTAAGATTACTCAGTCAGAACACCTGAAAGATCTTAATCAGGCTAAATAAACCTACAGAAGCAGGATGGTCACTATGTACTTTTCACATGCTAATGAGCCGCCTGAGCTGAGAAACTGTAAAACAAAAGAATCAGATAAGACTTCATAAACAAATTCAGCTGACCAGGTACAGACTGGTTAAAGCTAAACATCGGAACAAACGCCTTGTGTACTTAACACACCTTTTCGATTCTCGCTGTTGGTTATTTTTTAGAAGACAAATGGGAACCCTCCAGTCCCCACGGCTGCCTGAGTGCGAAGGACAGCAGAGGCAGCTGGGTGCCCAAGTGCCCTGAGGCCCCTGTGCTCCAGGGAAGCTTCCACCTGCTGAGTTCCTAGTGAAGGTGCAATGCCTGTCCCAGATTTCGTAGTGGTGTAACTGTCTTTTCCCAGATAATGTAAAAAAAAAAAAGCAAGCAAGTCATCTCTCCTACTAACATCTTTCTCCCTGTAACACAATCTTTGCACGGCCTCCACAGCCCTGGCCAATAGGCCGGGCTACAGTTGGGCCAAGAGACCAGGCTGTGGTTATTTGCTGTGGACAGTCACAGAAACGTTGTGAGAAGCAGAAAAAGCCGACACCCTGACAGAAGCCTTCAGGGGAGTTACGTGGCTGTTCTCAGCAGCTTAGTACTGAACTTTGGGGGGGGCGGGGGAAGGAGAAAAAACCAACCCACGGACAGGTTCTTCACAGTCAAGAAGTCTAGTTTCTGGTGGGCCTCCCCCCGCCCATCATCACGGAGCGAGGCCGCCGGCTGTGGGAGCCCGCGCTGCCCGCGGAGCGCCGAGCTCGAGCACACAAAATGGAGAAACACCCCCACAGGCGGTGGCTGCGGGCAAAGGCCGCCGCAGGTCCCTACGGCCCCTGCCCCTCTGGCAGGGGGCGGCCCGACGCTCCAGCCAGCAGCCGAGGGCTCCGCCGGCGGCTGCCCTCAGCCCGGCGGTGCGCGGCCCGGCCCAGCCTCCCTCAGGGGAGGAGCCCCGCCGCTTCCTCGGACGGCGCATGCGTAGCGCCCGCCCGCCTGCCCCTGTCCGGCGGGAACCGGGCGGTCCGTGGGTGGCCGGTCCGTGGGTGGCCGGTCTGTTCGGCGGCCCCGCAGGCAGCGCTGAGGCGGAGTGGCGCCCGGCGAGGAGCCACGCCGCCCGCCCATGAACGCGGAGAACTTCGGCTCCAGCGAGCGGCTGGTGACGGCGGCCTATGTGCGCCAGGGGGCGCAGGGCCGCCGCGCCCACGAGCTGCGCCTGCGGGCGCTGCTGGAGCAGGTAACCGGGGCCGCACCCCCCCCCCCCCCCCCCCCCCCGAGCACCGGCGCCCTGCGGCGGGGAAGGGCAGCGCTGAGCCGCCCGCGGGCGTGCGGCCCGGCCCGGGGAGCCGCCCCCGCCTGCTCTCGGTGCGGCTGGGGGGTTACCGCGCAGCCCCGGGGGCGCCCGGGCCCCTGTTGCGGCCGTTGTTGCCCCCGCAGGTCTCGCCCCGGTTTGGCGGCCGCCTTGGGCCCGCCGTGCTGGTGGGCAGGGGCACGGCACGGCACGGCACGGCATGGCACGGCACGGCACGGCCCGGGCCGGGTGGCTGGGAGAGCCCGGCTCGCTTTGCTGTGCTAGCAGAGACCTCGCGGAGCCCCAGAATGAAAAGCAGCGTTTGGGAGTAAAAAGTCATTGCCTTAGGTTGTCTGCTTGCCGAGAAAGGCCCAGGAAACAAATTTTTTAAAACAGTAAGACATTAGCATATTATGACACGAAGTAAAAAATTGTAAGGTGCCAAAACAATGCATTTCTTTGTCTCCAATGTAAAGAAACCACTATCAATGATTTCTCAAATGTTTCAGTTCTTGAACACCCTTAGTCACATCAGCCACTGTTTCAAACTCATACGGTGCTTCAGAAATGAAGTAGTTTTACAGAGCTGGTTTTACTGTTACTGGGACATGTAAAAGAAAGCCTCTGAACTGTTGAGCTGTCATAGTAATGGTTTATGGGTACTTCTCTGAGGATCTTTTCTGCAGTTTACAAAAATGAGTGTGGTTCTTAATGCAGTAAAGAGCACAAGAAAGACCATGTCTCTGGTTGCAGGTTTTGACATGCTGTATTCTGTGATTTCCTTACCTATTAGATAATAACTAGAAAGGAAAGTGTGCAGGTAGGGAGATATGACAAATGAAACCATATTTCCCTTCTCATAATTAACATTTTTGGTTCTGTAATACCCAATTATCACCCCTTCATCCAGTTTTCGCTGTTGAATTCCTGTAGTAGTAGATTCTTGTCTACAGAATACATCAAATAATGTAGTCTTCGAGGGAGTAGTTAACATGTTTTGTGCTGTAGTGGTTTTGTGTGTACGTTAAGGAACACATGAAAGTGAAAAATATTCTGACTGTAATAATGTCGGGATACGCTAATGTGATTACATTTTATATGGAAAAAACCCCATTATTTAACTTTTCTATGAATACAAGTTCGTAACATTAGATAATATAAAACATCATCATGAAAATACAAGCTGCTGTTTGGTGTGGGGAAATGAGGGTAATCAAACAAGTTGCACAAAGTTTTGTTCATTTTTAATTTCCAAGTTTGGTAGTTACATTTCTGTTATTAATTTTAAGGGAAAATGTCCTGAAGATGGATGGGATGAAAGCACCGTTGAACTATTTCTTCATGAACTTGCTATAATGGATAGCAATAACTTTCTGGGCAACTGTGGTGTGGGTGAAAGGGAAGGAAGAGTGGCATCAGGACTTGTTGCCCGAAGACATTACAGGTACAAATTATCGGCACTTTGAATTATTCAGATTTAGCATTAATGCTTTCAAATGGTATATTTTATTGTCTTGTTATCTGAGACCTTGATAGCATTTGAGAAAAACAGTATAATGTGATATTGAGTTGATACAACTTTTTGTTGAATTTTCATTAATAATTCATTGGAAGGGCTTGACTAGAACAAAAATCTTTTGACAGGGTTATGTCCTGTATACTGAACTGGTAGAAGCTTAAGATGTTGAGTTGGCTGCATGCAAGGGAAGCAGAGATCTTCCTGTTGTAAACTAATCCATGCATTACTTGCCTGTTTAAATACTATATAGCTGTTTGTCTGTATGTTAAAAACTACTGCATATTGTAGTTGTAAAGTATTGAACATTTCTAATGAACAGCTATTTGTGTTTTGTTGTATTCATTAATGTCTTTATAATATGATTAATTGATATGCACGTGAAAACCCAGTTCGTCTATAATGGATTTTTATATGAAGTAAGGTGATCTATAAAGACTAGAAGAGCTTTTAATAGCTTGTAGCCCTTCAGACACTTGATGGATATGTTGAATGATATAATTCTAGAGGCTCTGCGTTGATTTCTTTATGAATATACTTTTTTTTTTTTTGCATAGAGTTCTGTGCTTAGTACCTTGCTGTGATGTTTTATCTAACAGGAATGAAACAGTGAAATTTCCTGGAATGTTTTGCCTTGAAAGATTAACACAAAAGCATATTAGAGACCAGAAATTTAGTAAGCTTTACCGTATGGAAGTTGAATTACTTGGGCTTAATGGCTTTCATAAGCCCTACATTACCATGAAAAAATAATGACGAAAGTCAGTATTACATTAGTTTGGCTTTTTCAGTTTTCTGTGCTGCTCTCTAGTTTGGGGCATGTGTGGTGAGGGAGGTAGGAGGGTCACACTGGGGAGAGTATCTGAGGAAGTATTGCTTTCTGACAGTGCTGGAGAAAGCATGCCCAGCTGCTGTCTGGAGGGAGCCTGGGCTGGCATTTAGCTACTGTTGGTGTGATGCAGCTCTGTCACCTGGCACCTCACCTTCACCTATGAGTGTCAGCAATAGCAAGGAAAGGTGTGGAGGTGTTCTCTACTCCACTTAGTGCTGTAATAAGTTTTACAGGTACCTTTGGGAGTGATCGAGATAGCAGGAGACTGTTCTCAAGCTATCTTTCCTTTCAGCTTAATAAATTCTAAGGGCCAGTGTTAGGGAGGATTGCTCCTTAGGAAGGAGTACGTGTGTGCAGAAAAGAAAAAGTAGTAGTAGTGTGAGACAGCTATTAAGAACATATCAGCAGGAATGAAGGAAAAAATATTTCTGGTGGAGGGAGGATTATGTGCAAGTTTCAATTAATTATCAGGCTATTGTTGATTTCAACCTATACTTTGAAATGGAGAAAAAAATTTAAGCTGTAAAAATATGCTCCAAGAAGTTCTGAATTTCATACGCTCATCAGACTGCATTTTACTCTATTCCCAAGATAAAAACAGAATTAAAGCCTTAAAAATAGATGTATATTGTTACTAGCTTACTTGAGCAGCTGCTGCATTTCAGCAATAGGTAAAGTTAGTTCGGTAAGTTTATATTTTATAAACTATTTCAGGATCCTCCACTCCTGAACCAGTGCTAAGTAATATTCCAACATTCATAAATGCCGTTTGTAAATATAATTTATAATCAGAATGCAGAGAAAGATGGTATTGCATGATACATAATATTGAATAGTAGAATGAGGTAGATGAAGTGAAGATGTAGAAAAAGAATGGCAAAGTGATACATCAATGTAGCTGTCTTCCAGGATGTTTTGTCACACTATATATTATTTCTTTGCCCTGTGGAAATGAAGAATTTGTCAGGGGAGTATCTGTATATTACCACTATGCCAATGGTATGCTACCCTATAGGCAACCAATTTTTGTTTTCCTTGGAGTTGTGTGTCTGAACATGTCAGCATTTATAATGCTAATTCACTGGACATCAAGGAGTGCTGAGGTGTACTTAAAAGGAAGTCTGCCAGATGCTAAAGGTCTTGATACTACGGGTCGTCTTAAAGATTTTACTTGCATACTGGAACAGTATTAATCTACTGTTAAAAATAATTAAAAATTACAATTTCATACAAATACATGTAGTTTGTGATAATAGAACTAAATGTGGCAGATATTGATGTTGCATTGGATACAGCATTTTCCACAATTGTTTATCAAGTTAAATTATCTTCAGTGAACAAGCATTATTGCTTTGGTTCGTGAAAGGACTTGATGTACGTTTTCAACCTTTTTTGTTTAGGTTGATCCACGGAATTGGAAGGTCAGGTGATATTTCTGCAGTCCAGCCTAAAGCTGCAGGGTCTAGCCTTTTGAACAAACTTACTAATTCAATAGTTTTGGATATTATAAAGCTGGCTGGTACGTATAAATCTGAAAATCTCTCTTATTTGTGGTGGCATGTCATGGGTTATTCATGTTAATTTCTGACTTGCTTTTTATGTGCAGGTGTCCGGACAGTGACCAATTGCTTTGTAGTTCCTATGGCAACTGGCATGAGTCTAACTCTGTGTTTTTTAACATTGCGGCACAAGAGACCAAAAGCAAAATACATTATTTGGCCACGTATAGACCAGAAATCTTGCTTTAAATCAATGATAACTGCAGGTAAGAAAGAGCTGACTGATTATGCAGTGTATTCTTCTGACTTCATCTAGCAGAGTGATCAATTCATATGCTTGCAGTAAGATCCAAAAAAGGCCTAATGAATAGTGGTTCTAAGTGCTTTATTTGTACACTTCTGATTTCTAACACGCAATCACACGTATGAGTTGTCTTCTTAATGCCTTGTCAAATACAGGTGTATGCTGAGGTACAGAGAGGCATAAAGTAGTCAATAGAGAACACAATACTAAGGAAGTTACAGTTCATTCTCGGAGTTAGATGCCTAATTTGCTGTCCTGAGAATTATGTAAAGCCAAGGCTCGTGGTTCAAATCTCTTAGATTTATGCAAAAAGCATATACGTCCTAGGAATTGTGATCAGAAGGTGACAAGCTCTCCAATTTGCACATTCTTTTATTTTAGAACATGGAAAGTGTTAGTTGCCCTATTTGTTTTTAATCTTGTGTTGTCACTCATCTCACTCGGGAAGTGAGTTTGGTGCCTTTCTTAGTTCAAACCTTAATTTCTCTCAAATGGAATTCCTTGTTTACCAGACTATAAGTAAGCTAAAGCTAGAAGTCTGTCCCTGCACTGAAGCTGTCTGCTGCTGCAGACAGATGCATGGGATCAGGGAAAGGGCAAGTAAGGGAGACAATAATTTTCTGGCTCAGTGCACATACCTGCAGGTGGTAACATAGATTCTGGTCCTAGTTCCCAGGACACATTTATTTTTTGCATAAAAGACTCATTAGATAAAAATGACTAAACAGTTGGAAGCAGGGACTGGATTCTGTCCAGGTAAGATGCAGAGGTGTTTAAAAGGAATCAGATCAGAACAAATAGAACATGTGTATAAGAAAAGTGGGAGTGTTTTCAGCATATTATGCTCAATTTAGAACATCAAACTAGAGAAATTATATTTATAATGGAGAAGGTTGTGAGGAAATATAATTGGTCTGTTAATTTTTTGAATAAGATAGCTATCACATAATTAAAAGAATTTTCAACTAAAAATGAGGCAGGTATCAGATACATAACAGCTTTCTATTAAATGCAAACTGTCTTCTAGATCACTAGTTGAAAACTAGGGCTAACAATGTCAATAAATCATTCTAGTCTAAATTTTATAGAGTTTGAGGCTTCAATGCCAGTGTTAAGACATGGTGTTGAGCCACGAAGGAAAAATTCATGTAGCTGCTGCCATGTTACACTTCTTTGGAAATCGCTCTTTCCCTTTTCCCCTGCTCTTCTCCTTTACTTTCATTCAGTAAACGTTAACATCTGTCTGGTGTAAGTCAGTTACTTCAGCTAGCATGGTGTTGCTGCCATGCTACACCTGTTTGGGGAAGGGAATGTATGGTTTCCAGTGTTTTATTCTGTAAACAAAACCTTTCTGGTTTATTTACTTATTTATAAGCTGGAAATCTGAGCAACTACCATGAGAGGGTTCCCTCTTTAAGAAAAAAACCACAAAACTCTTTAAGTGCTAGGTTGCATCAGCCATGACTTTAGCTGAATCTTGAAAATCTTTGAGGATGGAGATTCCACAGCCTCCCTGGGTAGTAGTTCCAGCGCAGTGCTATCCTCTGAATTAAAAAAAAATTTCTTGCTCTTTATTCTGAACCTCTCAAGCCCAAATTTCTTGCTGTTGCCTCTTATTATATCCTACCAAGCAATAGAATAAGAATAGAACAGAATAGTTGGAAGGGGCCTACAAGGATCACCTAGTCCAACTGCCTGACCACTTGAGGGCTGACCAAGTTAAAGCATGTCATTAAGGGCATTGGCCAAATGCCTCTTAAACACTGACAGGCTTGGGGCATCAGCCACCTCTCTAGGGAGCCTGTGCCCGTGTTTGACCACCCTCTTGGTAAAGAAATGCTTCCTGATGGCCAGTCTGAACCTCCCCTGGTGCAGCTTTGAGCCATTCCCACGTGTCCTGTCACTGGATCCCAGGGAGAAGAGCTCAGCACATCCCTCCCTTGGGAAGCTGTGGAGAGCAAGGAGGTTGCCTCTCAGCCTCCTTTTCTCCAAACAAGACAAGTCCCAAAGGCCTTAGTCACTCTTCATAGGACATTCCTTCCAGTCCTTTTACTAGCTTTGTTGTGCTCCTCTGGATGTGTTCAAGGACCTTCACGTACTTCTTAAATTGTGGAGACCAGAGAGTTTGGTTCACTTACTGTAATTCCCTTTAAGATAGTTGGGGACTGCTATTATATATTCTCCTTAGCCTCTTCCAGCTTGAAAAGTCTAGCTCTTACAGCCTTTCTAAGCTGTGTGTACTATACCTCAACTATCTTGGTAGCCCTTTGATGAACTCTCTCAGTTTTTTCAAAATCCCTCCTGAGCACCCTGTTCCCAAATTGGAAACAGAATTGTTTAAGTTGGAAAAGACCTTTAAGATCCAGTCCAGCTAATAACCTAGCACTGCCATAGTCCACCACTAAACCATGTCCGTAAGCGCCATGTCTAGACATCTCTTAAATATGTCCAGGGATAGTGATGCAACCACTTCCCTGGGCAGCCTGTTCCAATGATTGATAACCCTATTGGTGAAGAAATTTTTCCTAATACCCAATCTAAACCTCCCCTGGTACAACTTGAGGTAATTTCCTCTTGTCCTATCAGTTATTACCTGGGAGAAGAGACCAACACCCACCTCAATACTACTTCCTTTCAGGTAGTTGCAGAGAGGGATAAGGTCTCCCCTGAACCTCCTTCTCTCCAGCCTAAACAACCTCAATTCCCTCAGCTGCTTCTCATAAGATTTGTTCTTTAGACCCTTAATCATCTTCATTGCTCTTTGGACACACTCCAGCAAATCAGAGTCTTTCTTGTAGGGAGGGGCCCAAAACTGAACACAGTATTCAAGATGCAGCCTCACCAGTGCTGAGTACAGGGGGACAATCACTTCCCTAGTACTGCTGGCCACACTGATACAAGCCAGGATGTTGCTGGCCTTCTTGGCCACCTGGGTGCACTGCTGACTCATATTCATCTGGCCGTTGACCAACACCCCCAGGTCCTTTTCTGCTGGACAGCTTTCCAGCCACTCTTCCCCAAGCCTGTAGCATTGCATGGGGTTGTTGTGACCCAAGTGCAGGACCTGGCACCCAGCCTTGTTGAACCTCATACAGTTGGCCTCAGCCCATAGATTCAGCCTGTCCAGATCCCTCTGTAGAGCCTTCCTACCCTCAAGCAGATCAAGAATCCTGCCCAAGTTGGTGTCATCTGCAAACTTACTGAGGGTGCACTCAATCCCCTTATCCAGATCATTGATAAAGATACTAAACAGAACTGGCCCCAGTACTGATCCCTGGGCAACACCACTTCTGACCTCCCTGGTTAGCCAGGACTGCTGATAAATGATGGAAAGTGGCTTGGTGAGCACTTGCATCAGCATCCTCAGTACCCTTGAGTGGATCCCATCTGGCCCCATAGACTTGTGTGTGTCTAAGTGGTGTAGCAGGTCCCTAACCATTTCCCCTTGGATTATGGGGGCTTTGTTCTGCGCCCCATCTCTGTCTTCCAGCTCAGGGGCCTGGGTACCCTGAGAACAACTGGTCTTACTATTAAAGACTGAGGCAAAGAAGGCATTAAGTACCTCAGCCTTTTCCTCATCCATTTTCATTATGTTTCCCCTGCATCCAAGAAGGGATGGAGATTCTCCTTAGCCCACTTTTTGCTGCTAATGTATTTACAGAAACATTTTTTTATCGTCTTTTACAGCAGTGGCCAGATTAGTTCTAGGTGGGCTTTGGCCTTTCTACTTTTCTCCTGGCATAACCTCATGTCATCCTTGTAGAACTCCTGAGTTGCCTACCTCTTCTTCCAGAGGTCATAAACTCTCCATTTTTTTCCTGACTTCCAACCAAATCTCTCTGTTCAGCCAGGCCAGTCTCCCTCCCCACCAGCACATCTTTTCCTGCGCCTTTAAGATTTCCTTCCTGAAAAGGAAAAAATCCAGCCTTCCTGGACTCCTTTGTCCTTCAGAACAGTCTAAAATCTGCTCTCTGAAAGTCCAAGATAGCAATTCTGCTGACCCCTCTCCTTCTCCAGGAATCGAAAACCTTTATTATTTCATGATCGCTATGCCCAAGACAGCCTCCAACCATCATACCACCCACAAGTCCTTCTCTGTGAGCAACAGGTTCAGCAAGGTGCCTTCCCTAGTTGTCTCACTCCCCAGCTGTGTCAGGAAGTTATCTTCCACACACTCCAGGAACCTCCTAGACTGTTTCCTCTCTGCTGTAACGTATTTCCAGCAGACATCTGGTAAGTTGAAGTCTGCCATGAGAACAAGGGTTAGCAATTGTGAGACTTCTCCAAGCTGCTTATAGAATATTTGGTCTGCCTCTTCGTCCTGGTTGGGTGGTCTATAATAGACTCCCATTATGATATCTGCCTTGTTGGCCTTCCCCCTGATTCTTACGGATCAACAGTCAATCCTATTGTCACCATGATTAAGCTGCAGACAATCAAAACGCTCCCTAACATACAGGGCTACTTCACTACCTCTCTTGTTGCCTATCCCTGCTGAAGGGTTTATAGCCATCCATTCCAGCACTCCAGTTGTGTGAATCATCCCACCATGTTTCTGTGATGGCAACTGTATCATGGTTCTCCTGCTGCGTGATGGCTTCCAGCTTCTCCTGTTTGTTGCCCATGCTGAGTGCGTTGGTGTAGATGCACTTCAGTTGGGCTACTGATGCTGCCACCTTTCTAGAGGGAGAAGCCTGCATTCCTATGTGACCATTCTCAGGTGCTTCTGTGGTTTCTAACACATCAATAACCCTTGCGTTAATAACTTCCTTTTTTCAAATGTTTTTTATGTGTGCTTGAGAAACAAGCTTATGAGGTTCAACTGTTGTACATCTTAAATGCAAACTTAAACTGACAACTTAAAAAGACTTGGGAAGTACCTTGGATTTTATGATATGACAAAATTCACTTTCAAAATGAGGTCAAATAAGGGCATTTTTATCTTTTAAGAAATAATTTGGAAGTTTTTAGATTGATTAAGGCAGAGGCTTATGCTGAAAGCCAATTCATAATGATCATTATTGCATTGCTACATCCAAAGGCATGCTTTTTTAGAGAGGCTGTTTTAGTATGCTAATGTTTTCCAAGAATGCCACTCAGATTCTTTGAATTGGAGGGAAGATCTTAATCTGTTTTTAAAACAATCTTCAAACCTGTTGCTGTTGCATGCAAAGAACATGAGGTAAGCTTCGGTCTGGAATCCAGCATTTATCAATAATATTACTGTAGTTTTTAGTTATATGGACATTGTACAATAAAGCACCTTATGTATTTGTGTTCTTAATCCAAGTCTGAAAGAATCTGTTAAAACAACAGAAGAAGGTTTTTCAGATTTACGCTGGAACTGAAACCCCACAATTAGTCAGAGATTTGATGATACACATTCAGGTCTTGCTCTTTTTGGTCAGGTTTTGAGCCTGTGGTGATAGAAAATGTATTAGAAGGTGATGAGCTACGGACAGACATTGAAGCAGTGGAAGCTAAAATCAAGTCTCTTGGTGCTGAAAATATTCTTTGCGTGCATTCTACAACGTCTTGCTTTGCTCCAAGGGTGCCTGATAGGTAAGAAGTCTTTGTAAGAAATGTGTTATTACTATAAAAACAGACAAACAAAACCTCCATGTTTTGAATGTCCATGTTCCTAATATTGCTTAACTACTGCCAACAATTAGTAAAGATGCTTTAATTCCCTTGCTTAAGGAAAATGGCAGGTTGAAACAATGTTCCACTTTCAGAGAAGTATATTAAAAAAGTGAGAATAATGCAGAAGGTTTTCTTCCTGTCATATAACTGAGGTTAATGATGATCTCTTGTGGTGAAGTGAATGTCATTTTAGCAGTGGTTTTCTTGTAATTTCATGGAAGTAGTGAAAGTAGACTTTCATGGAAACATAGTCCAGGAAATGTAGTTCCATAGCTATTGCCACATTTGAATATTGCTGTTGCCTTTTCTACTCTTCTCCTCTAGCCAATGGTGAATTTTCCTAGGCTGTTAATACAGTTAAAAAAAATAATCTGCAGCTAAATTTAAAGTCTTTGAATTACTCTTTCCTGTAATATACTGATGTTTATAGGGCTAATTAAGATAAACTGATGTAAGGAAACTTTTGGAAGCATCTAGGGCAAATGTGCTGTACAAGTATAATATGATTTGTCCTGCTGTAACTTATCTTGGTTTGAACATTTGCTGCCTGATTGCATGATGCTACTTATAATTTCCAGCTGTTAAATTACCATTAAAAAAAGCATAAAACACATTGCATTCTTTCCCAATATTACGTGTCCATATACATAACTTCTGTAGTTGCTACGAAAATGTCATTCAAGCACTTGCTGAAGTTGAGATGAACATGATGGTTATGGATGGGAAATAGAGTATCTGAGATATTATTTCAACATGTAGCTTGGTTATGAAATATTCGAAAAACTTCTAAATCTGAAAATGGCTTGTTGGAATAGAATTGGCTAAAGTACTTGGTATATTGAGTCATTTATCTGGAATGATCACCATTCTTACAAAACTTGCTTTATTTATTTGCTTACAAAATAAATATCAAAGAGCAAATTCGTTATGTTTGAGAATTGAGCAAGTATATTTTCATGGGCTTTTATGTAGTACACTAAACTAGGAGGTATTAGTAAGATGTCTGTTTTTACATGGTTTTAAATGTAGTGTCTCAGTTGTTCTGCTTTCATTGCTTTCGATTTATCACAAAATTGTAAAGACTTATGCTTAGAGTTCCTCTGCAGTGCATGCTTTTTTGTTAATTACTTTGTTATCTGTAAAATTTAGTTTAATATTTGCAAGTATAGGAAAGACATTATTGACTCTGAAACATGGCAATTAAAGATATGCTTCATTCTGTTTTCCTACCTTTAAAAAAATGTTAATATTTATCATAGGTTAACCCAGTTGCTAGAGGGAAGTTAAAACTGTATAATTCTGTCAGAATACTATGAACATTGCTTGAAGTTGACTTGCAGATTTATTGGCTAACTTAAATCACAGCTATCAAAATTGAATGGTCTATTTTATAGCTTGGGTAAATGAATCTTTCCCTTATCTGCCTTCTCTTTTTGACATGCAATTGTTTTGTCCTCTGCAACTAAGAGATGAATTATTAGGTAGTGACACTGTGTTATGATATACCACAGATATAGGAGGATTTGAAAGCACTTTCTATTTAAAGGATACTGTCAGCTATTGAAGGCCATAACATTCATCTTCCTACAGGAAGGAAAATCCTGTACAGCATTTCTGGAGGGTAGCATTTTAAATGTCTATTTTTAAATATCTTGCATTTCTAAGACTTTGTGTAGTTGTGGTGGTGTTTTAAAATTTTAAGTAGCTTAGGATTGATAAAAGGTCAGAGTAAGAGTTTTATGCTTGTGTACCTATAGCTTTCCTTTAAAAGTATTATTTAACTTTACGGAGATAATTCACTAGTGTATAAACCCCTTTCCTCAGAGAGACATCAGTTCTCAGTCATTTACTTGCTGTTGCTGGAAGTTGTCTTTAAAACTACTGTATTTAAAAGAGAACTAAAGGAAAAAGTGTCTTTTAAGTTAGTTTATGTAATAAGCAGAATTCTATATTTTGTTACTTTCATTAATATTAGAAGAGAGAGCAAAGCTTTATTTTTATGAACTTTCACAAGCAAGAGAGAAAGAAAGAATAAAATGTAGAATACTTCTGTAACTCTTATTTGTGGCTTTTAAGAATTCCAGTAGTAGAAAAACTTACATTAATGCTTTGTTTTTCTAATATGACTAGCAGCACTTTTAATGGTTCGTGTTAAGTCCTGGAAGCAGATAAGTGCTGTGCATAATTGTTTGCTTCCCTTGCATAATCACATATTCTTTTCAAACCATAGCACTCTCATCCTGTATTGTAGTATGGATCTAATTGTTCAGTAGAATATTTTTAGGAAAAGTAAAGAGATTTTTATGTTTACAGTATTTGTAGAAGATAGCTTATTGCTCCTTTCAAGTCTCAGGAGGTGAGAAAGACAAATATACATAGCAGTACACCCTCTATGTTTCCAGTTTGGTGAAATTCTCTACCTGCACTTGAAAAGAAGCCTATAAGAAGGGAGCTGTTTTCCTTTGAATATCTCTGGAAGGTGAAGAATGAGTCTGATTAAGATCAGATCAGAAGGCAAAACCCTTGCCCTGTGTAATGTTATGTTTCCTGAAGTATTCTGTTAATGTTACATAGTTCAGGATTCAGGATGTTGATAAATGTGAAAAATTATTGGACATGCAGCTGCTGCTGAATATCTTGACTGTAGAAGATCAATATGTATATTATACTACTGGTGTTTCCTGATCATTAAATACTTGTGATTTCTTTAGGGATATTATGGTGATGTTTTCTTAAGGATTGAGGTTCAGAAAATTTAATCTGAGATTTGCAGCTGAATTTTGCATTACAATGCAAAAGAATGCTACCTCTTGGAAAATGTTTTCATAGTGTGTCACATTTTATATGTGTGTCAGTAAATTACAGTGAAAGGCTGTACAGAAGGAGATAGAGTAAAAATGCATTGGAGGTTTAGAGTTTCTCAGGGTTTTTTTTGTTTTGTTTTGTTTTTTTTTAATACTATTACCTTTATTATCACTTTAAATTATTATATATTAACTTATTTTTTCAAATAGATTTCATTTCTAAAATGTATTCACAAATTTGGGGAAAATCAAGAGTTGTTTTAAGAAATAGAGCATGATCAGAGTGCTTCAAAAAAGGGTACTAAGTCCCTGTGTGTTTAAAATGCTGAAGGCCCTTACCCAAAATGACCTATGCACCCACATAAATTCTCATTTGACTGATAAGTCAATCTAGGCTGAGTTCACTGTGATTTCAGGGATTTCTAAAGGCAAGTGAAGAGTTGTCATTATTTCTGAGTAAACAGTTGAACAAAGTTTTAATTTGCTGATCTCCACATTCAGACATTTTAGAGCTCTCCATTCCTTTGAAGAATATCTTTTCCGTTAATCAGTTTATCTGAAATATGCAAGTGAGATTTCAGCTAAAGGGCTGAAATATTAGTACTTTGAAATAACCAGAAGCATGTAAAAACTTTGTGATATGATGCTTTTGATTCCTAAGATGCATCTTGAAACTTCCATTAGATCATCTTCAAACTGAATATTAGAAGGAAAAAAAGTATGAATAACTAAAGCTCTGTTAGTTGTCATTAAAGTAGTATAAAAACTGCTTATATCTTGAAGCAGAATGATTTGGAATCTATTTACTGTTTTCCAGACAAAACTTTCAGTGAAGCATGAAAAATTTCAGCCCAGGTCAACAATTTGTAGTATATGTAAAAGCTAAAAGAATTTTCTTGCTTAACCTTTTTAGCTTAAGGTGTTGAGTGCTGCCTTGAGGTACTAATCAAAAAAGTTTCCTTTCTCATTCTGACCTCTTTGTAGACATTTCAGTCTTTTAATGGTCTGATTTGTAACATCAATTACAGTTATCAATGCCTCTCTAAATTACAATTTTATGCTCATAGGCTGGAGGAACTGTCTGTGATTTGTGCGAATTATGACATTCCCCATATTGTCAATAATGCATATGGAGTTCAGTCTTCAAAATGTATGCATCTTATCCAACAGGTAGGAGCTGTGTATTTCCAATAATATTTTTTTTAAGAAGTGTAAGTAAATTTCTGATTGTAGGCAACACTAGCAAATTTTATCAGATGTTTCACAATTTTGAGACTCATCCCATGTGTGTCTGATATTTGAACAATATTCTGAGAAAGCGGAGCAGAGGGAAATAGAACTTAAAAATAAGATTTGTTAGTTATATTATGTGCTTTTTATGTAATAAGTCCAAATTGATTTAGGTTTTGTTTATGTTCAGGTGTCTTTCATAATGAAAAAAATGCCCTTTTTAAGCTTTTTAAAAATATTTCCTAAACTTGTTGACTAAAAATAAAATAATCAATCATACTTGAATAAGCAGTAAGCCTTCAACAGAATGTGAGTTACAGATTTTCAATTGAAAGTACAATATTCTACAGCAACACTTTATAGATGTTGTCACTGTTAAAATATTGTTGATACAGAGATGGGAAAGAGCTGGGAAACTGGGTTAAGTTCAGTATTATGTTTGATTTCTGTTGCTGTTTATTTTGACGAGGAGGTTGGTTAATATTAGCCATGAAACAGACTTCTTGCATTTTTGGTCATTGCAATGTACATGCACCGTTTCTTCAATATTTCTCTTTTCTCTCTGTTGCCCATATCAAAAGAATAGGGGGATTTTTTTTAACAGGATCCAGGGGATCCTAAACTATTATGCATTTAAAGTATACTGTTCTTTTTTTGTTTGTTTTTTGTTTGTTTGTTTTTTGTTTTTTGTTTTTTGTTTTTTTTCTAATTAAGAATACATTATGTTATTAACTGGGCACAGACCAACTTGATATATAATTATGAGAGGAAAGTCATGTTGACATTTCTAAATCTTGAGAGACTGAATGAATTTGACAAAACTTGAAGTGATGCGTAATAGAAGATGGCATATGCTTTATTTGTCATGCACTTGCTAAATATTTGTTGTATTTCACTTGCACAAGTTTAGTGAAATTCTAACATGAAGGGTGCTGTGGAATTGCTGAGTTTTACTGCATGAAATGTATCTAATGATAATCTTTTCAGACTGTAAAACTACAAATAGAACTGTTACTGTGTTGGTTTCTGTTTTTTCTTAGCTTATTGTTAGCTTGGTTTTTTTATTTGTTTGCTCTTTGGTTATGCAAATGTATACATTTGAGCTCTGATTTGGTTTGCATTTATTTACAAAAATTTATTTCCTGTGATAGAAAATGTACTGTCTATGAGGAAGTAGTTATTAATGAATACTTTGCAGTATGTACATGCTGAGCACAGTGTGAAGAGAACCTGCAAGAGTATCACAGGAAAGAGCTGTTGAGACCATTTCATTTGTCATGCTTTGTCTCTGGTGATGTCCTGTCAATTAAATCAAATGATAGCTGCTGGCATTCATCTTTCCATCAAAAAGCTGACGAACTCAGAGTGCTTATGCACTAAGCTATTAAAACATAGAAATAATAACGGTGGTTTAGTTGGATCTGCTTTTTCATTCTTTTTGCCGTAGGTATTAACTCTGTTTCTATTTCATCAGCTTACTTTGTAGTATATTAATATGTAGGTATTTGAATATACTTTAATATGTATATTCTTCAATAAACTTTTCAGGTTCTGTTATGCTGCATACTTTTTAATTGTAGAGTTATATTACTCAACTTGAAGATGTACTGCAGAATCTACATTTTTTTTTTTTTTTTTATTTAAGAACAGCTAAGTGGCTAGGTATAAGGACGTTTTGTTTTCTGGGAAGTAGGAAAATCTGCTGTAGGAGGTTACCTGGATCTTGATCTTGCAAGCAGCTGGAGTGCTGTCACAGCCCACTTGTTTTAGTGCAAATATATACATGTATCAAGGAAAATCTTCTCCGCCAATGAAATGTTAACCTGTAGCCCTTTACTGTGAGAATCTGTGAAATGTTTTGGGTTGTACAGTTTTAACTATATAATTCCCATTAAATTCCAAGGGTTTTCTTTTTGGTTGTTGTTGAAAATAAGCTACGCCTAGACTTGTAGGAACTAAAATCAATATTTTAAATCATAGCAGAATAAAAATTTGTGAGGTACTAGGTAAGCAGACAACAGTAATAATAGTGAGCAATGCTAAGAAAAGATAATACTGTGATTTTAAATTTTTTATCACAAATATAATATCTGAGAGAGTTTCAGGAATTATATTTATTTCAGCTACATTTCTGTGTAATTATGATGCTATCATGTGTTTCCTTTTTCCTAATGTATACTGTGGACTTTTTTTTTTGTTCCTTTTTGATAAAGGGTGCTCGACTAGGCAGAATAGATGCTTTTGTTCAGAGCTTGGACAAAAATTTTATGGTTCCAGTAGGTGGTGCTATCATTGCTGGCTTCAATGAGTCCTTCATTCAGGAGATCAGCAAAATGTATCCAGGTAACTCGTTCATGGACTGATTTCATCCAGAAGAAATAACCGTAGAAAACTTGATTATCAGCTTTCTTTCACATAAAATTTATTTTTGCCAATTTAATCTGTATATTTTTTTTCAGGAAGAGCATCTGCGTCTCCTTCCTTAGATGTCCTCATTACGCTTCTGTCTCTAGGTGCAAGTGGTTACAAACAGTTACTGAAAGAGAGAAAGGTAAGTTTTTTGGCAAGCAGCGCTTCTTGAAGTCAGCTGTTGACAAAGTCTTGTTGCAAAAGCGCTTTGTGTAGTAAATCCAGTTTCTGTCTCAAAAGCCACTGAATTACTTTGGAGCTCACAGCTCTGAATCTGAAAAGGTGGTAGGATATAATTACTTCTTGGCTAAATGGTGCTCACGAGTAAGCAAGATTTCTATGTTATTTTTGAAACCAGAAAGCTGAACTGAGGTCCTGTACTATCTTGTACAGTATCCATATTTGTTGTTCTAAAGTGTGACTAATACAGTAGAATTTTGCCCATGAAACCTTAATCTGGGAAGTACTGTGCTGTGTTATCATGATCATGCTGCTTCCAGGACTAAAGCATGAGGCCGGATGCTCGGAGGTAACCGGAGGGGGAGGTCTCTGCTCTTCTTCATCTGGCCCTGTTGTGCCTTTGTGCTATGATAGTCTTTAATTAAATGTTTGTGTACCACATTTTCTGGAGGATCACAGCTTCTGGTTAGGTTATAAATACTGCGTGTAGCCACAAAAAGAGAAAAATACTCTCATTTAAGGTATTCATCTAGATACAGAGCTAGTTTTCCTTGTCTCTCTCAGACTATATGTTTTATGTTGGGTATAAATCCACTGCACAAACATTCAAATGGTCTAAGCTTGGAACCTGTACACCTTGAGGTGTCCTTAATTCTGGACATAATACAGGTCTTATTGTGCTATCTTTAGATAGTTACACAGAGGATTCTTTTTGTAGAGGGTTTTAGGTAGGGAAATGCTGTGAATTAAGTACTGTTGAGTTAATAGTTTTAAATCAGGCGTTATCTGTTCCATTATTTTATTTAGAAACTATGTTCCAATTGTTTCCCGCTGACAGATTGCTGATGCGTCTGATTACCTGGCAGGGAAATAGTGCTGGATGCTGTGACTTGTTTCTAGCTGCTTGCAGAGGCACCCAGAAACTCTGTACTGGAATTGAGATCTCATAGGAATAGCTAGACTCTAAAAAACCAAACCAGCTTAGTGGCCTTACAGTGACTAAGTTATCTGTGCAACTAAAGTGAAAACATGGTTTATGAAACACTGAAAGCAGTTACCACTTTTGCCACTATTGTAATAGTTTCTAACATTTTATTCTGGACTGTTATATGTATTGCTGCGTATGGTTTCTGTCTTCATTAAAAGCGAATTGTGTTTTTTCCCCCTTCATTTTCATCTCCAGAAGAATCTCAAGTGAATTTGTTGTGTCTTCTGCAAAGCTGATTTTGATGTTAGATTTACACTGGTAGCAGACACATAATGGGCAGTATAAATAGTCTCCAAGACATAAATAATAATTCTTTCATAAATAAAATGTCTTAATGAATAGCTGTATATTTTGAGTCATGTAATTTTCTTGGAAGTAGAATTCTGAAGTGAATAAAGCATTATATTTTTACAACTTCAGGTCTTTTTATTTCAAATGTGAGTATACTCTATAAACACAGCCTTATATATGGCATAAATATGTTTCTTTTATTGGATTTGCTGTAGAAATAGAAACCTTTTTTAGCTTAAATCTGTTCCTGAATTGTAAAAATGTAATAGTGATAGTTTATTGCCTGGGCTCTGTGAAAGCAGAGGCAGAGCTATTAGGCTCCCAGCAGGAGCTATTTATAGCTTGACATTGAGTACTCCTTTCTATATTGGTGCAGCTGCACCTACTCACACAAGAAGTCAGCTATAAAAAACTTCAAGTATTTTTTTTTCTTTCTCTTTTTGCCTTATCCTTATTCACATGGGTGTTACCTCAGGTTATTTCAGCTCAAGCCAGAAAGACCAGAATATTACTGGGAAGAGATTAATCTCACACAACCAAGGAAAGAAATAGTCTGCCCAGTTTTTCTTTTACGCGGATGAACTGTTTAATATAGGAAGAGAAGAGATTATATGAGGGAAAAGAGCATATACATGGAGTGGAATTTTCTGATGAGCTAGCAGTTATGGAGTGTGCAATTGTCCAGGAGCATGAGATTATATGTTATGATCTGAAGGAGTAAAGTGGTGCAGTGGATCTGAGGATAGAAGAGCAAGGGAGTACCACTCACATGCTGTCCAAGTGTCTGAATAAAGGTGGCTGTATATGAAAGCTTAATAAGGAATGTTATAAACAGTCGTATTTAACCTTGATGTTTCCAGAAGAAGGATGTCTCCTGGGTTTGAGCGAGTGACAGGGCTTTTTGGTAGCGGAGGAGGGGTCTACCATGGTGGCCCCCTGTGAGAAGCTTCTCAAAGCTCCCCTGTCTCAAAGTCAGACCCGACTCTGCACCAAGGCCGACCCAATTAGCTGCGCCTCTGCGATAATGTATTTAAGAAGGGGAACCTGGGAGAAGTTGTGAGGAGGAGTTGCAGCATCTGTGTGAACACCAAGGTCAGTGGAGGAATGGAGGAAGAAAAGTGGAGGAGGGAAGTGCACCAGAGCAGAGACACACACACACCCCACACCCCATATCCTGTGGTGAGATGGCAGGGACCACCCACACCTCCCACCACCCAGGGAGGTCTGTGGTGGAGCAGATGCTGGCCTGCGGTCTGTAGGCGTTCCCAGGCTATCTCAGGTGATTGTACCCAAAGGAGGCTGGGACTCTGTGGGAAGAAGCAGCCCCCACTGTTGTAGTTCAGTGGGAAGATTGCAGCATGTGAGGGTGTCCCATGCCAGAGCAGCTCAGAAAACACTGTGGCCTGTGGGAGGGACTCAAGTTGGAAAAAGTTTGTGGAAGACTGTTTCCTGTGAGAGGGGGGCCATGCTGGAGCAGGGGGAAGTTCCAGAAGTTTCCTCCTAAGATGAAAGAAGCAGCAGCACTGACTGCATCCCCATTCCCTGCCCCTGTGCCACTGCAGGGGAGGAGGTAGAGATATCAGGAGCAAAGCTGAGCCTGGGAAGAATGGAGGGGTAGGGAAAAGTATTTTCAAGATGTGGTAATGCTTCTCACTGTCCTACTCTGTCTTTAAGTGCTGTTGTTGTTAGTGTCTGTATTAAATTGATGTTCTTTTTTTCCCTTAACAACCCTGTCTTTTGCCCCTGACTATAATGGGTGAGTCATCCCTCCCTGTCCTTATCTCAATTCTTGAAACTTGTTGTCTTCATTTTCTCTTTCCTAACACTGGTGGGGGGAAGTGAGCAGCTGCGTGGTGCTCAGTTGCCCTCTGGGCTCAAACCACTGAACCTTTTGGTTTATTTTCTCCATCTCAACGCTGGGGGAAGGGGAGAGTGAGCGGCTGTGTGGTGCTAGGTGGCCCTCTGAGCTCAAACCACAACAGGATGGAGGACGACCACTAACAGTAATGTTTTCTCATTTGTTCTCAATTTTCAGTATTCCTTTTTACATCTTTATTTGGTGTTCAGAACAGTGTTCTTCTGATCTCAATAGAGGATTCTATGTCCTTTTGTAATGCAGATGATGACAGCTGATCCATAGTCAAATTTGTTAATATCTTTGCTTTTAAAGAATTCATAGTATAATTATGTAAAGGTTATATTCTTGTAATGACTCCTTTCATGTCCTCAGTACAGGTTATGTTGTGTCCCATGTTCTGCATTCTCAGGTCTTAAAACTATTTTCATTTGTGTATGTGTGTGTCTGAACCAGGCCACATGTAGCAAATATAGTGATTATACTGTGTAATAGCATAGTGTAGACTTCAGTTGTCACATCAGAATTGATGGAGGTCAAGGACACTCATTCAGGGTTTACAATCAGAACCCTACATGTCAGGTTTAATACCTGTTAGCTATTTTCCAATGTGGTCCATTTAATCCATTTAACTAATTATTATACTGATATTATTGAAGTGATGGCTTCATTTTATTTTCAGCAGTTATGAATTTCCTCATTACTCTTTCCTTAACAATCTAACAATCAAGATAATTCTGATTTTCTTAAATGTATTTCTGTGTTACTTGGGATGTGATGGAGCTTTTTATATCTGTATCCATCTGTCAGTGTACTTTCTAAGAGTGATTAACTGGAGTAATTTTTATGTCCTTATGGAGTATGTATCTAAAATATTTAAAATCACACTGAGTGGGAGGAAATTATTTGAGTTTTACAATTCAGTGAAATACTGGATTTACATTTCATAGTTTATCATTGATGTAATTATTCTGATAGGAGTAAATTATTTGTACAGTTCAGTGTGGGTTTATATTGCTGGTCTACTTATGATTGAATAAGAGAAAAGCCATTTAATGCTAGATATTAAAAATGTAAAAAATCAAATATTCTTACAAGATGACAGACATTTGTTACTCCTCTTTTTTTTTTTTTTTTTTTTTTTTTTTCCTGTCTAGTCAGATTGCTACGCTGTAGTTTGTCAGATGTGTGGGAATATTGCAGGATTTTCCTTGTGTGAACCATATTCAAATTTTAGAGTGGCTGGAGGCAAGATAGTTTAACGGAATGTAATCATTATCTTAAATAGTGTTATGTAGTTAAACAGGTGACAAGTATGAATGGAAGCTTCAAAGAGGCTTACATAGTTAAAGCACGTATTGGAGAGGTACGGCCCATGAGGAGCTTAATCTCAAGGTCTTGCAAATGCTGAAGAGAAAATGTGTTGACTGGTGTTGTTAAGAATGACCTTTTAAAAAAAATATGAATGTGGTGATTGTCAGTGTTACTGTTACCGTATCAAGTTGGTGAGACTTACTGGACAGTTCCTGTTAGATTACTTTTATATGATGCAAAAATTTAAAGGTTCCATAATTAATTTAATATTTTTAAAACTTTCTAGTATATTACAAATTCAGAACAAAATTCTTGATCTTGCAATGCAAGAGAATCTGTATATGAGGCTATGTGGTATATGTAGGTATGACACTCGTACACATACAGTTTCTGTCATGTGTTTGGCTGCATTTCAAGAAAGTAAACCTTCTAGTGGGGCTCTCTGGGCACTAACAGGTCTCCAGCCTCTCTTTGTGTGAAGTGGTGTGCGAAGGGATCAGACTAGAGGTCAGGTGCAGCTGGGCAGTCTGATATGCAAAGCAGAAGAGAGGCTGTGATGGTTGCATTACGAACAGCTGCTGCTGCAAAGTCATTTAAGACGGGACCAGATCAGTCTCAGGTACAGCATATGAGAGCTGGCTGGCCGTATCTACTGCAAAGAGGTGGAAAAATCACTCTTCTGCATTGTCTTCTTCAGCACCATAAACAGGCTGTTCTCAGAGGGCAATTCATCCTTTCGGATGAGAGTGAAACAGTGAGGAAGGCAGTGTTACAGACTTGGGGCGTAAGCAAGCTGGGTGGTTAGAACCAGCTTAGGATAGTTTCAACCATGAACAGAAAGTTTTCCGGCCTTCATCACTTGTCTCTCTGTCACCTGATATGGGACTAATGGCATATTTAGTACCCCTGTCTTCTGCTTTTTCTCTGGAGTTCCTAGCTTTTTCCTTCCTTGTTTCCCTCTCATTATTTTCATTTGGAAGAACAGTGCCTATCACAATGGAGCAACAAATGAAGAGTCATCCATATTAGTGTAGGTTCGATTTTAAAACAGTTTTATAATGTAAATACAGTATGTTTCAAATATTTTTGAAAATTCTTATGAAGCTTCTTAAAAATATTTTTGTATATCTATGTGGATGTAGGCCGTTTTGTCCAAATAATTGAGACATTTGGCACATTTGATGCATACACCATTGTTGACTTGTTCTTCTTATTTTTTGAGGTATTTTATTAGCTTGGGTGCCAGAAAGACCAGAAGAAGAACAAGACATTTTCACATAGCTTAGCATTCATTTCACTAGCCTGGTGAGGTTTTGTGATAAGTTTCTAAGGGAAAAGAGTGACTTAAATAATGAAACTTAACTGACATTTAGTGCTTGGATTGTTCAATGCAACTTTAGCATAATAGTTAGCTTCATTGGAGAAAATTTGAGTGCCTACCACAGAAAATCAATTATGTAAGAGCTCATTTGTATATAATTGCTTAGGGTGCTTATAAATTTTCCACGTAACAGAAATATTTTATAATAAAGGTTGGTTATAGATTTGACCTTACAGAAATATTGCTTTTTTCCATTTTTTGGAAAGGCCATTGATCCGTTTTGCAACAAACTGCCTAACTTCTGAAGTTATAAAATGTCTAGAGGGCTTCCAATGGAAAGATGCAAAATAGGGTTGTTCATAAAAATACGGAGTTTTGATTTTATGTTCAGGTTGCTTCAGTCAAACTGATGAAAATACATGCTTGGAATTTTTTTTTTTTTAATCACCAGCTTTCCATTCTCCTTTGTTTTAACAAATTCCTACATATGTAGAGACTCATCTAGTAACCTAAGAATTTAATCTTAATTTAATTTAATACATTTATACAGTGGGTAACTTGTTATACCAACTTGCAGTCCTCTCAGTAATAAATACTATTAAGAGATGCAATGGAGAATTTCCTAGGTGCAACACACAAAAATTAATTACTTGGGAATTTTTTCCTGTTCTAGTACAGGATTTTCTCAGTACTAATTTCACCAATGATATCTTCATAGTAGACACAATTTATGTGTATTTCTGTAATACTTTGCTTCAGTTGTAGAAGTAAATAGCCAGCAGAGGGAGCACAAATTAATTTATGATTTGGATTGAAAAAAAATACTAATAAAACGTCTAACACATTGGTGATACTTACTGTGGAAAGGAAATAACAAATGTGTAATGTGTTTATCTTCAGTGAGGGACCAGAAGGAAGACAAAAATGTCTGAACATTTGAAACATAAATGTTTTTCAACTTCTGTGAGTGAACTATAAATTATCTCTGTATTGAAACCATAAAATCACTTGATTTACAAATGCCTCTGAAAAGTAAGAATGATTTTTTCACAGATTTCAAGTTCTGATAATTAACCATAGATGCCTCCCAAAATTTTTGTTGATGTTCCAAGTATTACAGAAGCTTTATACTCTTGTTGATAGTTGAATCAGTAGCCTAATTAATTTAAAGAGTACAATGGTACTTTTTCCTCTCAGGCTGAATTAATTCTATGGTATTAGGAAAAACAGGTCAGGAGCTGTGTTCATTTGCTCACTCGTGAAATGAGACTGGGTTCACTGCAGTGGCTCAAGAAAAGCAGCTGTAACATTCTTCTAACCCAGCTACCATAAAGCTCATTTGGTTTTGTAAGATCTTTGGGAGGTTCTGCTCAGAAGCGTAATTTTGATCACAAGCTATAATTTGTATCTGTCAGAGTGCACAGGTCAGAACAGGATACTGGTCTACAAACAGAAGAGGCAACTCTATTTAAAGAATGAAAAATCACTTGTCAGGTCCAGAAATTGATGAGGATGCTTAAACAGGCAGTCACATTGAAGCAGACAAGCAGCACAATCTTTATGGCCAGAAAGAGGAAAAATCTGGTGTTTAGTATCTTTTAAAAAGACTACCCAGTATCTGTATCTTTTTGCTAGATTTTATGAGAGACTAAGCATTAAAAAGGGTGGTAAAGAAGCCAAAGGGTACAGTAAGAAGAATGGTGTTTATTGTCACTCTGTCCGTGTTTTGAGCTGATACGTGAAGAGGAAGATATTAAACTGAGGAAGAGCATGAGCAATTAGCACAGATTAATACTGAGGAAGAGGGAGGAAATAAAATATGGATGAAGTGAGAGAAGCAGCCGTTAATGTGCAGTGTGACTTGTATCTGAGCCAAAACATTTATGAATCTGTTTTATGACAATTTTACAATAAAGGTGTAATCTAATTAAGTGATAACAGAAATTCCGATATCTCCATTCTTTCAGTAGGCTGGAACAGGGGGAGTTTGGTCCCAGGAAGAGGGCTGGCTACACAATAGAGCTGAGTATTCAGGAGAGTATATATTGTGTGGAACATAATACATTCAAATGTGTACTTGTAGCCTTCCTTAAGAGACTGTATTGCCTTTCTTATACAGAAAAAGTGTGTGCACTAGTGGTAATTGGCTGTGTGATACATAGTAACAAAATACACTATTTATAATCTGGAATGTATTACTACAGAGAGAACAAAGTGAGGAGCAATTTGCTATAACATGGCCATCTCTGATGGTAACAGTTCATCCTCTGTGGCTCCCGGGGGCTAGGGTTGGGGGGAAGCTCTTGCAGGAGTGGAGTGGGGTAAGACCTGCTGTGCAGTGGGAATCTGTTTGAGATTTTACCTCCCTAGGGTACAGGGCCACAGAGAGGATGACTGACATCCCAAGCATGTGTATTAGACCAGATAGAGCACTTTGTACCAGCTTGAGGGGGGAAAACAGTGTTCAGGAAACGGAGCTGTTCCTTTATAGAATGATTTCAGAGAATTGTCTGGCCCACTTACTTGGTACACATGAAAAAAGGATCAGCTGGCCACCAGCAGGATATAATGGAGACTTAACAGTTTTGTGAAATAGATACTATTTTCTCTGTTTGATAGCTAATAACAAAATTATTGCATCTTTTTTTTCCAGGAAATGTTTTCATATCTTTCAAGTGAGCTGAAGAAGCTGGCAGATAACCACAATGAGAGACTGTTAGACACACCACATAATCCCATTTCCTTAGGTAATTGTTGGTTTTTATCTTTAAAAAAATTTTCTGATATACTGTGTATTCATCATGCACTTTCACATACAGTTCCTATATATTAAACATTGCTCACTACACTCCATTAAATTCTTAGGGTCATATGAAAGCATTGAACCCAATAAGGTAACCTACTATAAAAGTAGGGTAGTGACTTGGGCCCTTTATTTTTTTTAGAAAGTTGCTCCTGTCCAACATATTCATTTATTGTAATCAAGGCAGATAGATGATGTTAGCATGTAGTAATACTTTAATTAAACCTTAATTTATTTCTAAATCTATTTTTTTATATTTTGCCCATCATCTTATAGTGCTGTAAAAGAGATGATGGAATTCCTACTCAAGATACTTGTTCTAACCAAAAATTTTGCTGAGCACAAAAGTAATATCGTATACCTGTGATGAATCTGTCTTACATACAGTCTAACCAAAGAAGTAATCTATGACAACTTGTGGGAAAATTAAAAATTGTGAAAAGTAGTATTTGTGTTTCTTTTTTCTTTGTATCTGAACTGAAATATTTGGCTAGATATTTCTTGTTGGAAAACAGCTTGTCCTCTGTGGTGGTTCTTTGGAGAAAAAGCAGCTTTGTAGTAGTTTTAACCTGACCTTTTGTTACTTTAGCCATGTCACTGAAGAATCTAGATGAAAATAATGCTGCTGCTGTTACCCAGCTTGGATCTATGCTTTTCACCAGACAAGTTTCTGGAGCAAGGTGGGGATGCTATGAATTTTAAAAATTTTTTTTGGGGGGGGATGTGTTGTATTAGCATATATTTTATTAAATCCTATAATACTTGTTTTGTAATAATCATCTCATGATTACAGATTACAGTCTGACAATAACGAGTCAGAGAATAATATACCCTTCTTCATCACTGTTACTTACTAATAATGTCTACCTGCTTGAATTAGCAATGAGGCTCCCTTTGTTAGCTTTGGTAGGCTAAATAGATAATCTATGCCCATTTAATTTAGTGCTGTCATTCCCCAATACCTCTTGGTTACATTTAGTTTCCAGCTGTTGTCTGATCTTGTAGTTAAGTTGTAAGCTACTTAGGGAAGATATTTGTTTTGTTTATTGCAGCACAAATATGGTTGTGCTGAACGTCAGGGGAATAAGCTTTTAATACCCTACATAGCTTTTTGTCATATGGAAAGAAAACCCTGCTTTCCAGAATTAATTGTGTTTAAAAAAAGAAATAAAAATTTAAAAATCTACCTGAGCCAGTCTGGGCTAAACTTATTCCTAGAGACACTGATACATGGAAATGCATGCCAAATAATTTTTCATTATTTTGGTTTAAACATTTTAGAAGAGAATGATTTAAATTTTGTTTTGGCATGATTCCTTAATCTGAATATTACTGCTGCCATGCTAACTTCTGCCATAGACTTAATGTCATTTTTTTATAGCAGAGCTGATTGTTTCCACATCAGAAGGTATGCTTCATTAGCTTGGATTATTCCACTTCCTGCACTGATGAATGACAGTAAATCTGTATGTACTGTAGTTAGATGCTCTTTTTAATTTGCCTGTCCTAACCTTGGCTTGTCCTGCAACTTCAGCCATCTTTGGCTGAAATGACTCAAGAGGTTCAATTTTTGAAGTTAAAACTCTCCAATTCTTTGCCTGATACAAAGGTTTTAGGTTTTTCTTTTTTTTTTTTTTTTACATGAGTAATTCTTTTGTAGTATATACACTGTTTGACCCGGCATTTCAACATATTTTAAATGTTATGCTTGTGCTTAGTGTCAGTGGTAGGAATAGCAACTCCCTACTTAACTAGCATACAGACTTTTGCATAACTTGTCAGGGTACTTGGACAGTGGAAGGATCTGCTAAGTCTAGTGCTATTTCTCTGAATGCAGTTTCTTTTATGAACTGCAGGGAATGTCTCTATAGAGGTAGGAAATTCTTATCAGTTGGTTGGTGTTAGCTGCTTGTGTAGGCTTTAACTATAGCCACAAGGCGAGTTGTTCCTTTAACAAGTAAGGATGTGGTTTAGGATCTTGATTTGTCAGGGAATGGATATGTACTCAAACAGCTGAGAAATAGGGTGTAATCGGTAGAGGTTCTTAGTATGAGGAAGAGGTAGAAGCGGTGGCAAAAAATATCCTCTACAAAGAAGGAATGAATATGAGGTTAACATCACAGGATGGGGGAAAAGGGAGATGCAGTAGAGAGGAAGGGATGGAAGGAAGTTGGGATCCTGAGCCCTCTGAATCACTTGAACCCAGACATTCTGGGCTGCAGTAACCTATGCCAAACAGATGTCTGCGCTAAGGCTGCTGTCAGTATGGTGGTCCTGGGGAGGTCAGGGTCCCCAGGTTGCCTAAGGAGGGGTGTACTGACCCAAGTCAGAGACAGAGCAGGTCAGATAGTTTGGGCTTGTTATGAGTAGTAAAGTTTGCTGCAGATGTCTTTTCCCCCCACACTGGGGAGTTCATAAATACCAGTGGTAAAGACCTTAATAATTTAACTGAAGAGGGGAAGGGACATACACATATGCACGCAGCTTTGAGCTAATTCAAAATCTGCTACTACTGTCACTCATAGGATGCTTGAGCACTAACTCAGAGAATCCCTGATCTATACCTGTTTATGCTACTTTGTTTAGAGTTAGCAGAAATTACACTGTATAGGAACTTGGGTAAATGTGTTCGTCGTAGGATATCACATAAAATATCCAAGGCATCTTTAACTGATTCACTTTTTTTTTGTTTATTTGTTTCAGGGTTGTTCCTTGTGGGTCCATACAAACAGTGAATAACTACACTTTTAAAGGCTTTATGTCACATGCAAATAGCTATCCCTGTGCTTACCTCAATGCTGCCTCCGCAATTGGAATTAAAAAGCAAGATGTAGATGTATTCCTAAAAAGACTCGACAAGTGTTTGAAAGCTTCTAGAAAAGAATCAAAGAAAGAAAAAAATGTGAATGAAATAAGTAATTCTAATACAGGCACAGAACAACTTGAAGACTAGAAGATAAGATCTAGTAACACAGGAAGATATGTTTTTGTTTGAAGTATGTCAGGTTTGTATTGGGTTAGCATTGTGAATCTGCAGTGCAGAAAACTTATTCCTGATCTGAAAACAACAAAAAAAATAGTTGGGTGAAATTCAACTTTAAAGAAAGTAGGCAATACTCTTTCCAAGACAAAGGGCCGGGCACAAGTATTTTGCAGCACATAAATGTGATTAATATCTGCCAAAGTAAAGCTTTACATTCATAGAGACCTTGAGCTGGCCTTTCAGTCTGTGGCTGACTATTTGAACCAATGTTCAGCAAATCACAGAATGCTTATTCACTTGTTATTGATTAACAAGATTTTCTATGGCAGTGATTGAATTCCTTCCTAGACTGTCCAGCAAGAAATGTTTCACTGTTCTCAAAATATCTCTTGCTTCTCATCAGCATACTTGCCACTTTTCATTTCTTTTCAAAGATTTATGTAAGTGTTGGTGTAGCCCTTACTAAATACAGTGTTAAAACTATGTGAGAAAATTATAGAGTTGGGACAGTAAGTAGTGTTTTTCAGGTGTTCTTGCCTCTAATGAACTGCCTAGAACAGTGCAGCCCTCAGTGGCAAAGAAAAACCTAGAATACCTCATATCCTGTCAGTGCTCTGCTCTTGGAAACATTTGCATAGTAATAATGAAAGCAAACATTTGTGGAGTGGAGAGGTACAGTTGTCTTTTTTTTTTTTTCTACTTTTTTTCTCTTCTTTTTTCCATTTCATCTTTTCTTTGATAGGGTGATCAGGTGAGAGACTCAGTGAAAAGGAGGAATGCCTTGTGGGATTAATGCATGAGTTTCAAGAGCCAGTGAGACCTGAGGGTATTTTGGCATTTTTAGTCTGTTGTTGTTAAAATTTATAGGCTTCCATTTCTGAGGTGTCTCTTGCCATTGGCAGTGTTGCTTCTGTGGCTGTGTGCTGTTGCTGATTTGGATTCATTAAGTAAACAGTAGATTCCGAGTCTCTTTCTGAAACAAAGGTTCTACATCACCGGAGTGACAGTGCTGTGGGTTGCAAAACTTTTAGTCAGTTATTCTTAAATGCAATTACTACACTGTATGTAGTTTTTATGTCATTTACTGTTCAAAGATGTTTTCTTTGTCTGTCTGTAATATAGTACTACTTGGGACATCACAATTAATGAGTTCTAAATGTCAGGAAATATTCCAGTTACTTTGTTTGGTGGGATCTGAGACATGTGTCCTTCAGAGCCCTCTGTAAATTCTTTAATCAAGATAGTGGTGCTTTTGAAGGGATTGTCTATCCAGCATGTTCAAATGAATTGATAGAAGAAGTGATGTTAATATGCAGAACTTAATAGTATGCTAATCATCATGAAGGTGCTCTCACTTAGTAAGGTTAGTCCTGTCTTAAGCTTAAATTGAACTACTGCTTCTACATTGTTACTGCTACAGTTACGTGTTAGATTGATTAAAGCTTGTGAAGGTATGGCTCCCCAGACTACAGTCACAGTTGTTATTTGCTGTACAAACATATCCTAGGAGAAATGTAATATAACTTGGCCACTGAGTCCTTGTGACTATAAAGAGATGTAAATTTATTTTCTTCCTTCCTCTTTTTTTTTTTTTTTTTTTCCCTTTTTTTTTTTTTTACTTTTTATTGAGAGCATGCTGTTCCTCAGTTTTTCCAGTCAGTAAATCTTTTCCACAGGGTTGGGAGCCAAAACTTTGTAGCTGACTGCCTCAGTATCCAGTATATTAGAGCAAGCAACCAGTGGAAACCATGACGCCTTAGTGATACCTTTCTTCCTGATTTTTGATATTGTTGTTCTGTGCCTCAATGAGTATAAATTATTGGTTTAGATGACTAGTCACATAATGCAAACATGAGAACTATTGTTACAAGAGTTTAGGGAGGTATGTGGTAGCAGCTATTTAACAATGTTTCTTTTCTGAGTTAAGTAAAGGTGGCCTGTCCACCTATGTCCAGATTAGTAATTGATTGTCCAAATTAATAATTGATGTCCTTTTACCAGTATAAATGACACGTCATGATTGTGGATCCCATATCCCTACATACTATGAAGGGTTTCTTTTCAATATGCCTACTATTTTCCCAGGGGCCTAACTGTTGATGTAGTTCATCATAACACTGGTTAGTTCTACTCTACTAATAAAGAATAGAGAGAAGAAGATTTTATTAAAGATAATTCATTACAAAGTATAGTTACAGATACAATAATACAATTAAGATTTTACAACCATCCGCACTTGACTAACGAATATGTGTGCAATATCTATCAATGTAAACAGCACCCGATTTGACAAATGACGCACAACCTTATCTTGTCGGGAACTAGAGAGTCCCAATTCCACCAGCAATTTGTAATTGCCCTGATACCATTTGCCACGTGCACCTAAAGGAAATCCTTTAAATCTAATAACAGTAGCATTTGTCAATTCTTGAACCTGGTCTTTAAGGTGTTGATGTTTCTTTACTTTCTCTGTTGCTGCTTTTGCCAATGATGTTAATTTGCTTTCATTTCTGATTGTGACATCTACCACCAAGGGTTTTTCCTCTTTAACAAATATCAGATGTGGTTTATATAACTCATTTTGTTCATCTTTCAACAATGGCTCTTGAAATATTACCCATTCTTTCTTTTTAGCCTCTTCCACCAGCAGTTTGTATAGTTGGTTATGTCTCTTATTTCTAGCATCTTGAACCGCAGGACTGTTGGTAAATGTACCCATTCCTTGATAGCTGTTCTTATAGCCAAGTCAAGTGTCTCTAGCTATGTGGCTCTTACCTCAGCCTCGTCTGCCAGGTAGATCAAGCGTGGAATAGCGTACCCTTTCAAGATGACAACCTTCTGAAACGGCTTCAGAGAAGGCTTCCCAATCTGATTTACCCATCCTTTCACTTTATTCAGTAGTTCTGGTTTTGATATTCCTGTCCACGGGTCTACTTGTAAGCCCAGGTATTTCTCAGAACTACCAGATTCAGTCATGTTGAGGGGGGTGCCTTTAATCGTCCATGGAGGGCAGTCATTGATCGTTTACATATCCTTTGTAGACTGGATGCAAAAGCCATGGCATTTCTCCCCTTGTGCCTTGAAGCCCTTTAGATCACAAAAAAACCTCAACAATGTCAATGTTTTTCAGCATTCCTTCCCATGATCCACTTTGACAGTACCAGGTCGTCTGCAAAAGCCACAGCTGTTACATGTGTCAAGTAGTGTTGGTACCCACTTCCTTCCTCTTCCAGTTTACACAGCAAAGGGTCCGCAGACAAGTTAAATAAAATTGGAGACATTGGATCACCCTGTTACACATCAATCCAAATCCCAGCAGGATCTGACTGTTCATTCTTCATGTCAATATGAGTATTGATCTTGTTATACAAATTAGTAATCAGGATGATAGTATGATCATTCACACCTATCTGTTTTAGAGCTTCAGTGATGTGAGAATGGCTCACAGTGTTGAAAGCTTTGGCTAAATTGACAGACTACTCCTATGGGTTGCTTCTCTTTTTTTTTGCATTCTGAATTAAAAGCTGCAAGTTTCAGGTTTTCCACACATCCTGATGATCTTATAAACCCCCTTTGTTGTGGACATGCCTTGACCAACCTTTCCATTATAATCCTTGAAAATAATCTCAGGATGGTCGATCCAACGGTAAGCATTTGATGAATAATATCCTGAAACTAAATAAAGAAAACAGCAGTTGTCTTCTCTGAGAGGAATAAACCTCTGCCTTTTATGTTCTCATAATAAATTGTCTGCTGCAAATAATTCACTCACTCCTCCTGTAGATTGAACCACTTTCTCAGGTAGTGTATTTCCTTTCTTCCGGATGTTTCCATTTGAAATCAAAGCTGCAGATTTCAACAAATCTGTATAAACAGGTATCCAGGGAAAGAATTAAGTGGTTTGTTCTGATTTTGACCTTTTAAACCTTTTTTTTATTTAAAAACACATTTTAAGATGATGGCTTTAATTGAAGGGAAAAAAAAATACTGTTTTTAATTTGTGTGTCATTACATCTCTTCACTAATCTTAATGATGCCACCTGAAGTCAGAAAATTAAAAATATTTTGAGAAATGTGCCCTACTGTGTGTATAAACTCCTGAACTAAATATTTGTGTTATGTTACTTCGGTAAGCCAGTGTACCAGTTTTGTTTGTTTGCTTTGTCCCCTTAAATGGCTTCACTTAATATTAAATCTTTAGAGATAGAAGCATTATACAATGTCATTATAAATAAAATGAAATACTAAGTAATTCAAATGGCAATATACTTTCAAGTAAATGGAGAAGAATTGTTTACTTAGGAGATGTGGTAGATCAAAAGTATTTTTCAAGGGAGAGTATAAAGCACTTATTCTCTATTCACTAATGTCTGTAATGAAGTAGTGAAATAATATTGGAACATACACACATGATCAGAGTTTTCACTTCTTTTGTAACAGATATGGGGAGATTTCATGGCTATGGCAGGTCTCACCTACTAAAAGTATCACTGTGAAAGACAGTAATAACATGGGCATAGGTTTGTCAAACTATATTTAGTAAATCAGTATTTGCCTTCTATGAAAATCTTTCTAAGATGGTACGATGAAGAAGCTTCTTAACTTAATTAACTGTGCAGTCCTTTTCCTAATTTCTACATAGGCACATGTAACTGAAGACTTCCACATACCTCAGAAATCTACAAGAGCCAGCTTGCTGTCCCCAGCATCTACATTACTAGTGAGACATCTAGGAAGGCGACTTCCTAGATCTAGCAAAGCTAGACATCTAGGAGGGCTGGGGTTTGTACTGCAAGAATCCTCAGTGGAAGCCCCAAGAACAGATGCCCATTTAGTACAGCTATCTCACAGCAACTATTTAGGCAGCTACCTATCTCTGTCATCTTCTAGGTTGCAGCGTGTGGATACCAGCTGTGCGATAGGAAGGGGCAAGCATCTGAAATATTCCAGAAGAGCTGAGGATTCAGAAATAGAAATTCAGGAGGTCACCATTCTTGGTCCCTAGTCTGCTGCTCTGCCAAAAGTTACTGCCCTGTAGCAGAGGTAGCGAAGTGATCTGTCTGCTCAGAAGGTGCCACAGTTCACACAGTGTATTAACAACTACTGAAACTAAGGTGTGTTTGAGCATTGCAGATATGAAAAACAGTGGCTGTAGAACTGTCACGCTTCCCGTTCTGCTTCTGTGGAACATATTCTATGGATACCTGCTTCTGAGGGCAGTAGCATTTGGCAACGGGGCAGGGTATGAGGTTAGGTAGGGACCCCTCAGATCGCTGCAGTTTGAATTGTCAAAGTGACTTTCTTCTCTTACGGTGCCTGTAGCTGTTCTGTGAGATGCTTTTCTTTCCCTCTGATAGGATATCTTATGCTATCTGGATCTATATAGGTGAAAGAAATGAAAGAGCAGATGGACTTGCCTTATAAAAATAGCAGTGGGATAATATAGTGCAAGCAAGCTGACACTGAATGACCCATCTCACAGGCCCACTCTTATTTTACTTCTTTTGTAGTATATGAGATAATGAACAAAACGAAGGACTGTGAGCAATAATACTGCCTTTTCACACTTTGTTCATAACGATTGCCTAAGATACAAAGCAAATAAAATCTACCAGATGCAGCAAATTCTCTGGAGCCTAAGAAAGCAAAATTGTAATGTTGCAAATGTAAATGCTGGCATTGCAGCTTAATACACATATAAACCGAGCAATCTATATTGTGTGATCATCATTTTTTAAGAAAGGCTGGAGCCCAGAGACTAGCAAATGTTCTCATCTGCAGTGTATCAGCAGTTCTCAGTCTTCAGCTGCTGTATAGATAATAATTCTAATTGAAGAATCATTATATGAATCCATATGTGAATGATAGATGGGCTATAGCCTTTTGTTCATGATGCTTTAAAAATTGAGTTGCTGCTTCACTTTTATAAGGGGTGATTAGGTTACCCTTTTTTTTTAGTTTTTTCTTTTAAATGCAACATTTTAATCAACCTGGCCTGACAGGATTTGGAAGCGGAAGGAAAAACAATTTCTGTAGCTGACAATTTTTTTAAACAATAGCTATTTAAAGACTCGAATTGGTTACAAAGTGACTCTCCACAGAGAGAACCTTTTCCAAATGTTTTTAATTCTGAAATCAGTGTTTGAAAAATTGTGCTCTATAATAATTGTTTTTCATGTGCTATATTTTTTCCCTCAAAGATAACAGTATATACTTTAATGCAGTTTAAGAATTCTTTTTGAAAATTATAGTTAAAAAGACATTTTTTCTGTCACTCATCAAGCATCTGTCATATCAAAGAACCAGTAATATATTTATCTTGATGGATAAGCTTCAGTGTTCTGGACCAAGATCAGTGTAACTGGACCAAGCTTTCAATACTCCTTTGGGGATCCTAAAGTCAAGTTCATGATCTAATTAAGATTGTAGTGATAATTATATCTGCTGCTGAACAGGAGTCTTTCAT